ACTTTTGATTTTTTCAAATAACAAGTAATTGGATTTGTTAGATCACCTAATTCTTCAACACTCTCTAAGAATAATTCATTCTTATTTTTTTATACATGAATTAAACACTCCTTTATATTTATACTCCTGTCTTACTCTCATCAATAAAATCTTTTTAAAATCATTTATAAGTTGATTATGTTTAATTCTGAATATTTCATAATAAATCTCTGGGTATAAGTGGTGTTTAAAAAAAGAGCTGAGTATTTTTTGAAAGAAAACATTTAAAAATATTTTTAGGTGAAATTTATGAAATTATTTTGCTTTAAAACAAATAAAATATATTTAATGTGAAAAAGAAATCAAATAAATTATACTTTTAATTAAAAAAATTTAAAACACTGTTCAAGAAAAGAGCTACTTAAAATTTAATAATCATCATGTTTTCCTTTAGCATTGTAAATTGCTAGAACTTTCTTATAAAAGCTCATAATATATAGTTGTACCATCTTGGAGGTTATGGAATTCCAGATCCTTAGGATTTCCTCTTTAAGTTCTTGTTTTTTTAATTTACCCTTTTTACTAAGTTCTTTCACAAAAAAACACATATACGCTCAATAGGGTTTAAATCTAGGCTTTGAGGTAGCCAAGGTAAGATGTCAATTTCTTTTACATCAATCTAATCTTCAACAACACCTGAAGTGTGTTTTGGATCATTATAATATATAAAAATAAATGAATCAATACCAATTTCATTAGGTTACTGTCTTAAATTTTTTGCTAAAATTTGTTTATAAACAACCCCTGTCATAGTATTTTCAATAAATACAAGTCTACCAACACCTTGATATGATATACACCCCCTGACTATAACACATCCTCTTTCATGTTTTACTGTGGGTACAATGTTTTTGCTGTTATGTCTTTCTCTTATGTAATATCTAACATATCTTACCCCATTACTAGTAAAAAGGTTTATTATTACTTCATCTGAAAAAATTATCTTTTTAAGGGTTTCATCCTTCATTCCTAAAAAAATTTTACAAATTTCAAATCTTTTTTTAATATTTACTGGTTTTAATAAAGGTTTTTTCAATGCTAAGTTAGTTATGAATATTAAACTGCTAAAAATCTTAATATTGCGGGTCTTGAAACCTTTAAATTAAATTCTTTATTCAATCTTTGAATTATTTCCCTAGATGAAATAAATAGATTCATATTATGAAGATTTTTAAAAAAATTGCTTCATGGAATTATTTAATAGCTAAGGGCGACTTGAACTTTGTTTACGATTTATTAAGATATTATTTCTTAGGTTTTCAGCTATTCTCTGTACAGTTCTTCTAGCAAAACCTTTTTAATAGAAATTTGGTTTAAACTCAATCCTGA